CCCCCCCCCCCCCCCCCCCCCCCCTTTTCCTCCCCCCTCCCCCCTTCTCCTTCCCCCCCCCCCCTCCTCCTCCTCCTTTTCCTCCTGCCTCTCCTGTACTCCATCACCCTCCCCCCTGTTCCTCTCTCTCAACCGTTCTCTCTCTCTCGTGACAAAAGGTGGTTCGCCTGTAAACGGGTTCATCTGGGACACACGGACACAGATGCTCATCCGTCACATAGCAACATGAGACAGATGAGACTTCCTAATCTGCAGACGAATCTGTCGGGATGCAGATGGAGGATGTCTGCTGCTCTGCAGGCATCACACCCAAGACTCGACCTCTGCTTTCCGTCTTTGTGGTTAAGACTCTGCGGCTTATGGCGTGATCCGAGAACACAGAACAGAGACTCGTCTCCCAAACCGAATCAAACGCACCCCGGGGCGTTGGGCGGAAGCGTCTGAATCTGCATGTATGCAGCTCTGCCTTCAGCGTCAGTGTCGCCTCAAAAAGGACGTTTCTGCTTTTGCTCACACTGTTTTTCTGCACATTTAATGACGAAGACGCAAAACATTCAGCCAAACAGAGCGAAAGCGTCTCAGATTAATGCTCAGCCAGCCGTAGCGTTGCTCACTGATGCGGTCGTGCAGGGGGTCGGCGCCGCCATGTGCATCACATGCACCGCTCAGGATGCTTTGTGCTAAGCTAAAGCAGCGGCTCCCAGCTGTGCAGAAACGTCTGACGCCCTCTGCAGGCGATCAAGCAGAACTACGAGAGTTGTAGTTCTGCAACTACAACTGGCTAAATGCTTACTTCTGCACATCACTAAGCCTGACGCGATAAATCAATCAATTAATTAATTAATTAATTAATTAATTAATTAATCGCATGATGAATAGAAATAAGCTCAGTAATTTCCATCTGCATTATTGATCGTCTTTCTTGTATCTCTCTCTCCTCTCTACCAAACAATGGAAAGTCTTCAGTCTGGTGTGTTGGGCTCAGATAGCTCTACGTTTTTGAAGGACAGTTTCCATTTCATTTGTTGTTTCAGGTGTTTTGTTTGGATATTTAAGATGTCTTCCAGTTCCACCGTTACACTTTCATTAGAAAACAAAGTTTTCGAGAAGGTCTTATTGCATTATTATGCCATTACATTACTTCAAAATGATCTCAAAACAAAAAATGAAAAAGTACAAGAAAGAGCAAGAGAGGAAGGTAAGCACAGAGCAGCCGAGAATGAAGGTGGAAATCACCAAAAAATGATACGTTTGGAAACGCTAAGCTAGAGTCAGGGTATTCAGAACAATGTCCACTCAGGACAAAACTAGTCGAAATATGTCTTCAGATTGATTTGAGTTCATGCAGTTCAGTCCTAAATGACATATCAAGTTAAAAAGAGGAACCTTTATGTTTCAACTCATCAATATCGAGAAAAACTGCTTTTTTGTAAAAGATCAAGAAGCAGGTAAAGCATAAAATAATGTAAACTACGTTGTCTATGCGGAAAATGAAACTCCTTGTTAAGAATCAACTTGCTGTCTGCAACCTGCAAGGTGAAAAACAATTTCCTGCCATTCTCCAATGATAATCGTTCATTTGTGCTGTTTGACAATAAATTTTCATTTCCAGGACCAGCATTAAGCTCCTGCTGACAGCTAATATTTGAGTCTGAAGGCGGCAGCACTAAGCAAATCCAAGTTTAGGCAACCTGCCTGTAGAAGCTGAACAAAAATAAGCGTAGTAAGTGCAGAATATCGTCTGCGAACAGATGCAAACATGGCACGTCAAGAATACGAGGGAAAACTGCTGCAGTGATTGTCCAGAAAACACAAACAAGGTTATCGGTTATGCCAAAAGTGCAGCAGCGCAGTCTGAGACAGCAGCAAATATAGCAGCTGAACGCCGGCCAAGTGCACAGTTATGAAAGCTAATAACTCTCCACAAAGTATTTTTAGAGCTCACCTGAACGTTGCCAAAATCGACAGTCTCATAGTGGAAATGGGCACACTCTGCCAATCTGGGGAAGTGACCTCTGGGGAACGTTAGCCTAGAACACACAGAAGAGCGGCTACTCATCAACATTCAAGACACACCGACGCTGCGATGAGGAGCGGAAACAAAGAGAAAGAGGAAGGGAGAGGTCAGGCTTGTGCGGCGAGAGACAGAGCGCCGTTTAAGATTCAGACCGGCTGGTCGGCGTGAGAGGCGCCCAGCGCTGGAACACAGGCTCCCCCTTCGCTTCGCTGGCCTGAATAAGGAGCCTTATATTCAGGCCAGTGAAGCGGCCCCTAAAAGCGGCGGCAGCGTCACTGAGAGCACCTACTTTTTCATGTTCTTGACCTTCATACTCGCCGTGCTGACGCAGGAGCGCAGGAGGGGCTCGGCCTGGTGTTCTGTGATGTCATCGCTCTTCACCTGCCAAGAGCAGAAAGCATTAACGGGGTCCGTGATGGAGAAACCGATAGTTTATGACGTTGGAACGTGCAATGGAAGCACATTCCTGCCTCTGACGGCTTTTAAAATAGGAGTTATATCATTTTTCCTCAGTGGATTACATATTGTGAAAAAACAGAGTCTCACCACGTATTTTTGTCTACTTTGTAGTGAAAATATCTGAATACCTTAGAGAAACTACAAAACTACAATACAAGTAAATTATCAGCAAGATGTAGGAGCTTAAGTTAATAATTCAACAAAAGTAAAACATTTCTTCTTACGAGTGAAATAGTCAGTGAAACTAGTCATTGTTTATCAATATTAAGAAATGATTGACATAAAAGAAGCCCCTACTTCTTGCAGAAAAGTTACTTATCGGTTTTGTCTTATTTCAGGAGTACTAAGATATTTGCGCTAGAAACTACACGAGCTGGCGTGGTTTGATTTTACGATGCACTGTGTCAAACGATCCAAACTAATTGATAAACTTGTTCCTCTCCTTGCCTGTGGTGGCGCTGCACCAAGAACCACTGAGAGAAACAACATGTCAGAAGAAGACACGAGCGTAACGTCCTTTTTCAAGAAATGCAAACAAAAATGCAGTGGTGTCAGATTGTAGGTTTTCTCTTTTGTCTTTGGCAAAAGACGAAGAGCCATTTGTCCCGTAAGCATTAGATTCTTGCATTTGTCTTGGTTGTATTTACCCAGAATGCCTTACACCATAGTCTGGTTCCTGCTTTTGGAGCGGTCTCTGGTCTGCTTGCCTCCACATTTGCATCGGAAGCGCACCAGAGTTCACTTTAATCAAACCCAGAGCGAGGTTTTTAGGCGGACCAGAGTTCACTTTTTTTTTTGCTTTGACAGCAAATTCACACCTCCCCAAACGAACTGGACAATCAAAACACATGGACTAGAGTTTGATGAAACATGGCTGGTGTGAATGCAACATAAGTCTTTCAAACCTAAGAACACATCGCCTGGTGACGGCAGCATCGTTTCACCTTATCCCTTTACTTACTCAAATTTGAGCAAATATTAATTGGACGTATGACTGTATTTGAGGCTGTATGTGTAGTTTTGACCATTTTTTTAATCTGCAGAAGACCAGGATTAATTTAAAGTCGTCAACTGAGACCTTGTGATCTGTTGAGGCGACATTAAAGTGTGAGTCAACTAAAGAAGCAGAGCAGAGCATCCTCATGGAGGAAGGACAACATGTCTGATGGGTTTTGTGTATTCTCTTGCATCAGCTATGAGTCAGTGCCATGTGTGTGCTTATTTATAAATATATATATATGTGTGTGTGTGTGTGTGTGTGTGTGTGTGTGTGTGTGTGTGTGTGTTTGTAGGCATGTACCGCGGCAGTGGATGTCTCCTGTGGCTGCTTCTCCTCTGGAGAATTAATGTTGGTAGCTTGAGGTAAGGCATCGTTTTTGTCGAGGTCAGCAGGTGGGGTCGGGTCACTGTGCAAGAGGTAAAGAAAAAAAAAAAAGGTTGGAAACAGAACAGAAGCTGAACTATTGTTATGAAAATGAGGCCTCTCGATATATTTTGTTTAATTTTCATCCACCAGAGGGAGCAAGTGAGGGAGAATTACTGGAGTGGCTTGAGCTGGAATCATGACATTGCACCAGCATGCCTCAAAAAAATAAAAAAAAACAGAAAACATGTCATACTGAAGCTATCACCAAGAAAATACACATTTATTATTTATGTTAGCTGTAACTATGAACAATTACTGAGATCAGTTTAGAAAATATCAGCAGTTTCTGCTTTAGTAGAGAGGGAAAAAAACGAACCCTGATCCAGTGATTGTTTTATTTGCACTCCAAAGCTCACGTGTTCAGTGAGGCATAAAGACAATCCACCCACAGGGAGAGCTTCACAAAACCTTCACTTGAAATGTGATTCAATGTACTGAGGAGTGGAGGGTGAGGCCCATTCAGGCAAACTTTGATAAGCAACAAAGGCCACAGGGAGTTTGGGAGTCTTACAGAGATTCAGCCTGATCGAACCTGGAAATGTGGCAAACAAACATCGACGTTTATGTGCTCCAAAATTACATGAGCAAGCGCAACAAAATAGTGGAGTCTGAAACTGATGGAGGTTGAAAAAGGGATAGTTTGTCTCTCAGCTTTACTCTGATAACTGGGTCATTTTTTTAAAAGCCTCACTTCTGGTTTTATTCATCTCAAATTCAAAATTCCCATGTTCCTTTAAAGCAGCACGCCACACGCTATCTGGTCTTTTCATCATCATCCAGGTGAGCAGACACACGAAGCCAGGGAAACGCAAAAAAATAAATAAGAGTAACTCACCCCTCAAGGACGTCACTACTTCCTGGTTCTCCCCGGGGTCCTGAGGCAGCATTCTCAATCACCGCGGCAACCACGCATCCAGCTTCCATGATGCCGCCCTGCTGCAACAGCCCGCTGTAGAGAAACGTGAGTGGGAGGAGAGAGAAGGAGAGAAAGTCACGGCGGGCGGGTAGGAGGGTCCGAAGCTGAGGAGCCACCAGACGTTAACCCACTCGAGGCCGCCATCCACCCTGGCTGTAATCTGGGATGACATCATGCCAGAGTGCCGCGGGCTGCCACGGCGACCAGAACGTGTCAGGCTGTGAGTTCGCAGGATGGATTTCAGCTTCTGTTTCCTCCTAGAGCTGACAGATTTCGGTTGAGAAGCGACTCTCGCGCTCTCCAAGGAAACGGCAGGTTTGTCCCGGCAGCCAGAGATTTCCCCTTTACTTTTTAAATTCCACTGCTGTGAAAATGTATTTCCCACAAAACAGATTCCTTCTGTTTTTGCTATTTGGTCACGACAAAGATAACTTGGGTGAATACAAACATCGGTTTTCAGATGGTAATTTTATTTGTTAGCAAAGATAAGGAATCCCAATGAAATATTTGCCTCCTTGTTTAATCATAAATTAATGGTGATTTACATTTTGGGGGGCTTAATTTCATCAGCCATGCCCAGGCTGATTACTGCTACGCCTGGAGAATCAAAAAATCACTCAGGTAGAAACTGTTCGTCAACACAAAGTAGGCTGAAACAATCTTAAAAAGTAACTTGTCATGCTCCGATGTTCAGAGATCCAACAGATGTAAAAAAAAAAAAAAAAATATATATATATATATATATATATATATATATATATATATATATATATAAATTTGCAAGTTTTTCTAGTAAATTTCAGATTTTTCTCTAGCAAAATTTTGACTTTTCAAACTCAGAAATTTCCAAGAGAATTCCTAGAAAATTTCTGAGATTAATCTCAACATTTTTGACTTTTTCAGAGGAAACGTACCCTTTTTTTCTATCTACAATAGCCCTAAAACACCCTAACAATATTGAGTTGCCTGTGTTGGTTTTATCCCGTACTGTAATGCAGAGGAAGATGAATAAAGTTTTGGTTAAGCTAAAACACAACACTGGCTCATATCGTCCGTCCAAACGCAAACTAGATGTAGACATAACAGCCTGTTTCCTTCAGCTTCATAAATAATTTTAATTTTACATCAAACAATTACTGTTTTTTATCCACTGCCATGGAATTGGTAAAATATCAGTATTTAGATAGGATTACACTTTAAACCTTTTTAATTTATGTCAGTTTTGTTCTCCAGTCCCAGTAAAAACCTTTTGTTTTTCATTCATACGTCAGCTTCTACTGCTTACCCTCAGTTCAGTAATGAAAACACAAGGAATGTCCTGATGAAGCAAACCTGGCTCTCCCTCAATTTTCCCATAACGTGCTTCTGGAATTATGAGGGTGTTTATCGGTAAACAACGTCTCACGGACAAAAACAGGCCCTTCCCAAAGCTCCCACCACTGCAGCTCAGGTAGCAGAGAGATGGGTCACCATCATGTGTAAAGGGTTCTGCTGATCAACCACAACATGTCTGGTCCAACAGGTACGTTAACTAGAGTCCACTGAACGCTGGTGCCGTAGTAGCGGTTTCCCAGCAGCCCCTCCAGCTCGGTTATCCACTGCTGGTTCTGGACTTCCATAAAGCTTCTTGAGTCAACAGGATGCCAACAGGCCGACAGGAATACTGAGCAGGTCCGACTCGGCTCCATCCTCGTCTCGCACTGTGTATCAACTCAACCTTGCCGAAGGGCAAAAAGTGCATTACACAGATAGCAGCGATCCAGAGACCACATTACATAAAGTTATGTTATGCAACGGTCACTTGGATCCAACATCTATAGTCTTCTTATATGACCGGACAGTGTCTTGGAACAGTGTTTTGTCACGTTGTAGCCACAAACGTTTGTGTATTTTGATGGGATTTGATGTGACAGCCCAACACAAAGAGGATGTTTACAGTAGATTTCAAATTGTGTCATAAATAGAAATATGAAAAGTGTTGGCAGGGGCATATGTTTTGACCTAGTTAAGTTTCCACTTGATTCTCGTTTCCCTTCAGTGCTGCGTCTGAAATTTCTCCTATGGACCTCGATTTCTCCGGATGAATTTCAACCAGGCCAATCAGCGAACAGAAAGAGCTTTGAACAATGATGAATTAGATTTAAAGTCTGCCATGATTGCAGTTTTAGCAATGACAGTGGAGGAAGTAAACAGAGCCGTTAAATATGTGTTGGCCACGCCTCCAAATATTGAGTCGTTTGGTTTAGGACTTCTTACTTCTTAGTGGGGTTGGTTGTTTACAGCGCACTCAACTTGTACATATATCAGGACCAAATGTTAGCGATTGCCTCCAGCTACTAATTATTTCTCAATAGCTGAGGGTCCAGACCTTCTGTACGAAGCAAAGCGATTAGCGACATGAGACTAGTTTTAAACCAGGCCAGTACAGAGTCAATCCTTACTTAAGGTCTTCTTTCACTGCAATCACAGCAAAAAGTTTCTTTGGGTATTTCTCCTTTAACACCTTTCCACATCTAGGTACTAAAAGTTCTGTCAAAAATTAGATTGAGGTCCAGGTCCAATAACTAACCAAGTCATTTTATTGTAGCCTTTTCTTTATGTTCTGGGTCACCACCTCAAAACTTCTACAGCCACTGCCAGGGTTTCTTGTGAAACTGGTGTGAGTTGGGATGAACACACCATCGTCTCCACCGGCTCTGTCCACAGAACACTATCTCACATGTCCCCAACATGAAGGAACACACAAGTAGGTCCTCTTAAGGCTTTCTGTAAACAACAGTTTAGTTCTTGCCACTCATCTATAGTGAGCAGATCTGTAGAGGGCACAACTAATCGTAGCCCCATCCGTAGCTTAGGATCTTTTCCGCTTCACCGTGGATCTGGTCACATGACTTTTATTTCACAAAGTGCCTCGAGATGGTATGTGTTGTGAACTGGCGCTATAAAAATAAACTGAATTACGCCCAATTGAATTATTTGGCTCCTCTTGCTCAGTTGAGGATTAGGTCTGGCACTGTGCCATACTATTTCCGTTTTTAGATGAAGAGATTTACACAGTACTCTGAGAGACATTCAGACCTTGAGATATTGTTTTGAATCAAGCCCAAATTTATCCTTCATCTGTGTTTTGTGTTCCTTGGTCAACATGATGCTGTTTGTCCCCTAATTTACAGTTTTATCTGCGCAAGACAGCGTGCATCGTTTACTTTCTACTTTACAATTATGCATTATTAGAGCCACACAAGTAACCCAAAAACAATGTTAAGGTTGTGGGTTGCTAATGAGGTAAATACTTTTCTATCAGCTGAATTCTTTCCCTGTAGAAAAAAAAAAAAGGGTTTTCTGCGCATACAACGGTACCTGACCTTGCTGATTATAGCTCATCAGACAGAGAGTCTGTTTGAGTGGAGGAACATGTTGTCCTGCACACAGCAGAGCGGACAAGCTCGCATAAAGCACCTGCATCATAAAAGACTTGCACTTTTTTTCGTCTGGAAAAACTTAGAAAATCTGACGAAAGAAGTGATCACCAAAGCAATCACTTCTTTTAGCCCAAATACGGTAACAGTGGACCAATTTAGAAATGCTCCAAATAGCGTACACTACAAAGTCGAAAGGCTGTGAAGAGACATGATGATGAGTGATCTTCATCAGCGTACCACCTTTTGGTGTATTATAGGTGAGAAAATGAATATACAAATATGTCTCAAACCTGTCAAAGCAACATATTTTTTTTTATTTTCCTGTGGATTTTCTTCTAGAAACATTGAAGTCACACCGAATCAAGCAGCAGTACTGCTTCCACAGCTTCTCCGTCGTCATTCATCTCCAAAGTATCAAACGTACTATTCTGGATGTATGAATAAAGAGGCCCCCTTTACCTGTCACAATTAATGGGGAGGTGCAGCTCTGATCTCAGGAGACCGGAGCGGCGAGCACAAAGGATGTCGCCTGGTATCTGATGGCCTACATGGCGTTTCTGCGAGTAAAATGGGGCGGCGCGCACAATCCTGCACGCTGTCTGAGGGACCGGCATCAGCAGACATGTTGACAAGAAAATGACTGGGTGAATTTTTTTTTTTCCCCAGGTAAAATTTGGTCACAAGTCTGTCAGTCACAAGTCCTTCATTTAAAAAATGAAATGAGGGGGCGGGTCATAGCCAGAGGGAAAGCTATGTTGCACATTTTCCCACCATTTATTAAATATTTATTTCATTTCTCTTTGGATCAATAAAGTATTTTTTGAATTTGAATTCTTGTAAATGTATGCAGTATTTATGGAGTTTGGACTTTGAAAAGTGATCAAAAACTTTGAAACCTAATGAAAAAAATTCCAGATTTAAGTGGACGTTTTAGGTAAAGCCGTCAAATTTAATCTGGGAACTTGCAATTGAAAATGGAGGATAATACCAACTTCCAAGCTTCTGTTTCAAGAGTAAATGCAATGTCTGCAAATATAACCAGCTTCACAGATTACCTCTAAATTTGCAGTTATATGATTCTTATTTCAATATTATCACATTCTGCCATTATGTAACTAACTAGACGTTTAGCATTAGACCAAGTGCAAGCCCCTAGTTTAGTTTTAGTTTCTCGTGATAATCAGTAAATTATTTGTGTTAAAAAAATGACATTTTTTAAAGAAAATAGTTTTAGTTTTATTGTAAATGTGTGAAAAGAATTTGCACCACCACTCAGTTCTCACATACTCAACACTGCTTTGTGAACTGAGCGTTCACAACAAGAACAAAGGTGCTATTTTTTAAACAATTTTATTACTGTCTATTGTCCACACAACCTAAACTTAATGCTACCAAACTGAATTAATGAGAGAAAAATGTGACTAATGTAAAAGAAGTTACAACTAGAGATGTGCTGATCAGGTTTTTTCCCGCTGATTCCGATTCCAATCACCCGTGAGGGCCGATCACGGCCGATCACCGATACCAATCACATAATTATTATTTTTTTAATCATAAGTACTACCGGTTACATTATGTAGAAAAAGGAACCATGAATTCACCTTAATTTAGATATGAAACTTGTTTTTAATAACTTTTTCCAAGAACAAAACAAACCAGGCATTGTGCAAATTGTACTGCTATGCTTTAACAGACTGAAAACATATGCAGGCTCTGAAGAGGCTAAATAATGCAAAGAGCCAAAATAAAACCTCTCAACATTGCCAAAAAAATTCAAGTATAAAACTTAACATTCAAAGCTAACCAGCTGTATTTATAAAGCACCTTGAAACAGTGAGAACTGCCCCAAGTGCTTTTTGTCCCTACAAAAGGACAAATTGTGATGACTTGATGAAAGTAAAATAACTCTACAAAGTAAAGTAGAAGAATCTCCTGGTAAATATTTGCTTGAGTCAGGTAATTACATTTCTTTACATTAGACTCTTAATAGAATGTAGAAAATGTCTTTAATTTGACAGCTGTTAAAGGAGGTTTTCTGACTCTCTGAAACTATAAAGACATTGTTGACGATCAAACCAGATCGTCAGGTAACGTGTGTGTAGACTTCATGGATCTCCAAAACCCAGACCAGACATTGACAGGACACAAACGTTTGGTTTCCTCGAGGCTGGTCGTGTTTTAGCTCCTTAGCTTCAGTTTCTTTGCCATTTGTTGTTGGTCAGACTGGTTGTATCAGGTTTCCAGTGACTTGAAACAACACAAATGGAAACTGTCAGAGTGAAAACATCAAGCCGAAGGGCGGCTAAATTCCCAGTTTATGGAATTTAGTCACGAGATCTTTGACGCACTTTGACTCTCTTGTTAGTACCAAAGAAAGACATGCGTCGGTGTGGAGAAAGTTGGTTTCAGGCTCTCATTCTGATTGCAGTCAACAGAAGCTGTAAATTCAGAGGGGGTAAAAAAAAAAAGCTCTACGGTTGCCATAGTAACTCATCTCCCATCCATCGTGACTTGACGCTCTTCCAGAGCGAAGACGAAGGAGACAAATGAAAGCCTCCGAGGAACTTTTGACCAGATGCTCTGACACATCATCAGCCTGTCTGCCTGAGGCGCTGCCACCGTCACCACACTGCAGGTTTCAGCCCGCCGCCGCCCAATTGGCCATGTGCTACCCGATGCTTTGTGACTCATGTCACCTCTCAGAGGGAAGGAGTTGAACTGGTTGGCGGCTGGAAGTCAATTTGATTCTCTAATCTTCTCGGAATCTGCCAGACTGAGATTATTTCATCCCGCACAGAGGAGATGTCACGGCTCAAATCTCTTAGTGAGCGATCCCTGATGAAGGCCAGGATGGGCGGATGGAGCAGAGTAACAGGGGGGTGAACAGCAGGCCGACGCTGATCCAAACATTTAATCAACAATCCAGTCTGTCACTCACAAAGACAATCCAAACCTTGCCACAAGGCACAAATCTCCTCGTGCTAAAAATAAGCCAATGGCGTACCACAAATAGTGAATGGGAGAAAATCTCATTTTGCAAGAAAAATATTTTAGGGAGGGCAACGTTTATTCTCAGAAATACGACAGACAAGCGGCAACTTAATCCACAGACAACCGGAGAGTACGAGCTTGGAGACGTTTGTTCAGTTTAAGATACTACACAGAGGTGTTGACTCAACAATGCTCTATTTCTTCTGTGACACAAACATAAAGGTTGGCTCTACCTCATCTGAAGAACATTGAAATTCTGAACATTTTGTTCAGAAAACTTAATAGTATTTAATCCTTAAACTGCTGTAAAGTTTTAGTTTTCTAGGTGGTTGTCCAATGCGTTCTTTAAAAAGAAGCTACATCTCTCTTCAAGTATTTTCTTAAATATAACTGTGACTATTTGACATAAGAATAGATTGTTTTCTGTCAGTTTTCAATTGAAGACCAAAGTGGAGAAAAATGTAAATCAATATTAACCTAAAACTATGGGCAACAACTTGCTTTGTTCATAAAAAAAAACTTCAGTTTTTAAGCCCATCTACAAGTTCTTCCCAAAGAGCTGGAAGCAGGGAATTGTTCAAATGCTGCAACATTAAGACTTCCTCTCACTGTAACTAACAGATAAAGTCTAAACCCTAATCAATCAGACATTATAAACCCGAACTTCTCCAATAGATTGCCAAACAGAGAACTGTAATTTCTACAAAGAAAACCTTTACACCACTGCAGAGACCATGAGGAACACGCTTTTCACCACTGAATTCACTTACTGATGCTGTATGAAAGCTTAGATGCAGCTCCTTTGCCATGGAAACCCGTTCTATGAGGTTGCAGTCGCTGCTCCGCATCTTCCTCAGAATACAGTTTTACTTAACTTAATAGTCTGCAGCTGAGTTGTTGTTAATCAATTGCTTCCACTGTGTTAAAATGCCACAAACAGATGGCAAAGAAATTACCTTACTCTAAAAAGTTTTCAATGCCTCCCAAAAAGTTCAAAATATATTTTAAGAACAGGGATTATCAGGAATCCCTTAGTCATTTGGTCTAAAAAGCCAGAGAGAAAGAATGCTTTTATAAAATAACAATGACTTGTAGCGCCGGGTCTGATGCATCAGCCATCGCTGAGTTATAACCAGAAACGGTAAGAGTGCCCAACAATTGTCCAACACAGAAGTTGGTTACCATGGAGACTGGATGAAGACTATAGGAGAGACATTGCTGACTACACACCAAGGTTTCTTTTTGAACACAAGTCCCCCTGCATCTTAGCTATCAAGAAATGTGACAATTTCTCAATAATCCTCTCCAAGTGGTTTGGTCTCTTATATCTGAAGCATTTTACTTTACCAATGTATTCCAAAAACATAAACTTAATTTCTTTATGTGATTATTTTAAACATATATATAACAACAAATAAGCTGCTCCATATGCCAAAAAGTCTTATTGTTTGTGAGTAGTATGAGGGATCCTCACATCTTTTGGTCTAAATATGCTGGAAAAATGATTTTATTTTCTCAAAAATTCTTTTGCTAAATTATCTGCTCATATGACAGTGCTCTACTCAATTATCGTGTCACACGTTGAGAAATTATATTATGCTTTACTGGCTCGGTCAACAAGCTCTTCTTTCTTTTACGGCCTTATATTTAAGCACTTTTGATTGTCGCCAGAGTCGACCCCATCCTGTACGAGGGACATAAACACAATTTGATTTGAGGACCTTTCAAATACCATCAGTCACTATCACATTTAAACTGACCCCTACATGCATTTCAAGAGAAACCCATCAACCATCAAAATGTACTTTGATAAACCTTAAGAGTTTATTGAAAAAATTATCTGTTGGATTCAACTCTATTACCTCTACTAACGCATTGACATTTTTTTCTGTGCTTTGAAAAAACAAATCTCAATTAGGTCAGACTTTAAAGAGATGGTATTAAGTATAATCGACTTTTTTGAGCTTTATGTCATGTTATGATGTTACTCCCTCATCAAAAACGTACCTGGAGTGAAACTTCAAAATCCTGTTTGAGAAATCCTTAACTCTCCCATGGCAACCATTCATGGGTGCCTAAATACTTGCTCTCACAAAGCACCGCCTTTTCTCTAAGTCGAGTTTGTCTCAAAGAGCACATCTCTCTCTCTGAGTCTGACAATAGTCTGAAGGAGCCCCACTCAGCTCCTTCAGACTAGTGTCAGCAGCAATAAGCAAACACTCAGTGCAACTGTCCACCTGCAGAGCTAATCATAGGAACTACTTCTCAGTCTGCTAAGAAAGGTGTTAAAGGCTTAACAGAGAGAGTTGTGATGAAGTACTGAAGGGAAGTTTCAAATAACAAGAGCTTCTTAAAGAGGCAGAGGCCAAATTTGAAGGTGTCAAATTTCTTTTTAGTCATGTTTGAGAGATACAGCATTTTTACAACTGAAGGTAACAAGTTTTTTTGATTGCGCTATAAAATGGCACTCTGTGCTTGTAAAATACACAATACCGCCCTTTTAAGGAAACTGTATACCTTTACAAGTAAAATAAAAACTTTCAAGACTGATTAAATTACACTATACTTTAAACATCAAGGATCACATAAAATCGCAAAAACGGTTGGTTTAAACCGCCAGCTTAGCTCGCTTTCTGTGACTTCAGCCGGCAATAATTGTCATTTCCTGGATGACCGGGAGAGTTCAACCACGGTCGTTACAGCCGACATTTTAATCACATGACATAATAAAATGTTGAATACATCTCGCACTTGTTGCAGGCCTGTTGCTAAGCATTGCGGCAGACTCATCATTTCCTGACCAGACAGCACACCGTACAGATAAACTACAGTCTGTTTTTTTTATAACCTCTGATGCAACATAATGCGCACTAAATGACCAATGGGAAAAGTTTACCGGCGGTGTACTATGACCTGTTGGGCCTGGCGGATACCAGGCGCATTAACAGCGCGCGCGCGCACACACACACACACGCAAAGAGGGAGAGAGGCGAAGAGAGAGAGACTATGATAATCGATTATTTCACAGCTTCGGCGTGAACTAATCGATTTAATGGGCAGCAGCCGGTGGTGGTCGCGCGTTGGGAACAGCGCGAGGAGGGTTCACCTGTCCGCTCGAGGCGACGGGATCATCCGGCGGTAAACTTACCTGCGACTGCGCGCGCTGCTCTTCTCCGCCGCCTCCTCTATGCTGCTCGGCGCTCGGCTCCTCGGTTAGGAAGCATGCTGCCAGCCAGCATCGCATCGCACTGCAGACCCACGCAGCCCGGACGCTCGGTCACTCAAAGACAGGCCACGGCTGATCATCTGAGGTAGATGGTGTTGGCAGGAAAGCCCGCGACCAGGTGCGGCATCTCGCTCTACAAAAGAGAGGCTGGCGAGTGATTCCGTGGCTGGAAGACAGAGAGAGAGAGAGAGAGAGAGAGAGAGAGAGAGAGAGGGTGAGTGAGAGTCCGGGTGTCGGGAGCGCGCACTGCTGAAACTGGATTCGTGCTCGCGCCTGTTTGAGCCTCAGGGGTTCCCAGACCTTTTTTTCTCTCTCTCTCTCTCTACTCCCTCCTCTTCCTCCTCCTCCACCTCCTCTTCTCCCCAAACCAGGGACCCAGATTTGATGTAGGCGTGAGGGTTTGCAGGCAGGCGCTGATTCATTACATTCGCTAGCATCGAGGAACCGCAGTTGTGCGGTGTTAGGTAATGCTTTTGGTACAACAATTACATAACCCCTCCACTGTGGGTGGGCGGTAACAGTGAGAGGAGTGAAAACTGGTGTTGAGATCGCTCATAATCATCATACCTTTTTTTTTTTTTTTTTTAATATTCACCTTAGAAAATTAAGCGGAAATTCAGGTTTTGTTCTGGCTCAGAGCACACAATGATTCTGATCATTTATAAACTTTATTCATCTAACTAACATAGTCATGTTCATTGAGGTTTTTCTACATTTTATATGATATTTTTTATTATTATTATTTAAATGTATTTTACCAGCATAAAAACCCATTGAGATTAAAAATCTCTTTTTCAAGGGAGTCCTGGCCAAAAGGCAGCAACAAATACAACACAAAACAAGTAGGAAGCTGTCAAGCTATAAAATAAAATAAGAAAAAATAGTCCATATTTATGTAGTGCATACTTGTGAAGTAGGACGACTATGATTCGCGCTTTTCAAAAATATTATCATTTAGAAATCGGAAAAGCTTGATACTTTACTAATCCCGTGAAATCAACTTTGTTCAGACATCACAGTTAGTAAAGAGTCCAGCTGAATGTGATTTGATATCAGTATAAATACAGCTGTTCTGAGACTGTCGCAGAGATTTTGTTACAGACCATTAGTAAACAAACATCTGGAGAACAAAAAAAGCACAGCTGCAGGGTCAGAAATGACACTGCAGAGAGGTTTAGAGCTGGGCTAGAATTCATTTTGATTCAGTTTGAAAATACTTTATTAATCCCAGAGGGGAAATCAAATGTTGTTACAATTTTCTTCAAAGAGATGTTGGAGATTCAGAAAGGCTCTCCTGTAGCAGTCTGTGTTACAACACATCACACGCAGCCCAAGAGCCACCAGTGACACTTGAACGGCAGTTTGAGAAACATGTTTTAAAAACTGATGCCGAAATGCCACGGACTCCTAGTTGGACCAGCTCTTACACTGGCTTACCTCATATACCAGATTAGCAACCGGGCTAATGTTTAAAAATCTGCAGGTCGAATCTAAACTGCTCCAGTTTGAATGTACAAAAAAACGGGGATTCTCCTGCAACACGGATGTGGAATCACAGCAAGAGTGAAAAACACGGCGGAGCTTGCTTCTTCTTGCCTCTTCCAGTTGTCTGTTGGCCGGTTGCCATGGCGTTTCCAATCTTGTTTATAAATATTTGTTTTCATATCATCCGGATGCATCCGTAAATCGTTGTTCTAAACAGTTTACGAATCCCATCAGTGGCGTCGTTCATAAACACCAGCCGGCTTTTGAAAATGCCGGTTTGAGCACGAGCCCCAAACAAAAAAGCTCTTTGCTCTCGACTTGACCAAAACGATTCTGGAGATATTATGTGGCTGTAGAAGGCTCAAGCTAAAGGTTGCTTTAATGCTTCTCCTGAGAGATAATACGCCAGAGAAACGTTTCAGTCTCCAAAATGTGATGTGTGAAAACTCTTCGGTGTTTTAGTGAGGTCAGGGATCTATGCTAGAATTCAGATCCTCTGCAGCACACACCAGTTTTAAAGAGCAAGACTTAGCCATCATTCTAAAGCCAATTAAAATGTATTAACTAAGTAATCTGATAGTCGAAAGAAAATGTTTTTGCCAATATTTTTTTAGTGTGGATTGAGAAAGTTGGAAGCATCAAAACAAAAATTCCATTAATATGATTCAATGTCATTCATGACTGTGTGGTGAAGGATTATCATTCAAATGTTAATTAACGATGATTCAGTTAACCTTTGTATTCCATGGTAATAAAGTGATTTAGGAGGTATTAGTCATAATACTTTCTTGAGACAATTTTAAAAAGGCAATTTGTACAATAGGGGACCTATTGTACAAAATTCACTTTTTTCTCAGTTTTCTACTTTCATTTGGGTTTTTATTGATTCTAGAAAAAGTCCAAGTGCAAAAAAGAAAAAAAAAAAACCAATCCAGATGTTTTCTGGCAATCGGTTAATGCTTTTTGGTGTGGGGAAAAAAGTCATTCCGAAAACCTCCTAATTATGACGTCACTTGTGCGATGTGGAAATATTTAGCATTTGAAACATCTCAGAGAGGAAAAATACCTTTTGGCCATACCGTATAACAGAACATTATTTTTTTTTTTCCTCCCCAACTAACCCCAGTCTGGGATGGCCCTTAATGAGCCACCATTTGGGTGCAATCTCCTTATCCTGTTAATTTTGAATTCATTAGAGCGACAGACACAAAAACTGAAGTAATTTACTGACTTACTTAGCGCACTTCCCTGGAACTCTATTTTTAATCACTGCTTATACTTTTTAATATACTTTTAGTTTAATTTTATTAGCTCTAATGATTAACGATGCATTTAGTGCCAAATGAAATGGCATCTGTCAGGGCTTTGGAGTCCTCTGACTCAATGAAGCGGCGCGCAATGCAAATGCAGGTCTTTCAGAATGCTACCACAGGAAACTTGAAGAAATAAAGCATAAAATTTGGCTGGGGCATAAAAGAATTAATAATACTAATGTTTCTTTTTAAGTTGTGTCAACTATAAAGCCTGTGCTGTATGTGTTTAATGATAAACACACAGCACTAGCTATATGCTTTTAGTAGCCTGGTTGAAACTGAGGCTTGATGCCTCAGGGCGGCTGAGTGTTTAAACAGCGGATTAGCTGAACTTTACATTTCACTCAGGTGTGTGCAAAAGAATGACGGCTCATTTGTTTGCTCTCTACCATTCGCCTAAAAGAATTTAAACACGAGCGCAAAGGAAACCAAGTGTTTTCCTCCTTTAACATATGGGTGAAAACATCCAAAATATGCTTGGATTCCACTTTTCTTTATTCCAAATTTCAAGTGTTTTTTTTTTTTTGTTTGTCTTTTTTACTGCAGGGAGAAAATACATCTGAAACTTGGCACTTCTACTCTGCTCTGACCAGTGTGTCCTAGAAATCAAAAATGGGAAGCAGAAAACCTGACCTGATTATCATAGTGCATCACTCTCTCTCTCTCTCTTTCCAATTTCTGACCAACACTCACCCCCTGTGTCCAGCATTTGAACTGCAGCGAAATTCTGGAAGCACACAAGGAAACAAACACACACGCAGCAAAAATAAAAACCTCTTTTGATTTTTTTTTATTATATCAAAATACAAAAATTTGAGAGGAAACTCTTGTATAGGACTAAGCATTTGAAATGATATGGTGACATGGATACAACACTGCGCTCATGTTCTCATAGACATGCCATAGATAGAGCAGAGATCGTCTGATAGGCCCGTGTCTACGCCATGATGAGCCACCAGGAGTGAGCCTGTGCATTTTACCCCTATAAAGGCTTGTGATGGCAACTGCTGCTGTACATCCAGGCCTGTTTGGTAACAAGCCAGAGTGTGTTTTCCTTTTTTTTTTTTTTTTTTTTTTTTTTTTTCATTTTAGTTCGTTCAGGTTTCTGCTTACTCGAAGAGAAAAAGGAGAGAGAGAGAAATTAAAAGAAAATTCATGGCAGTTGAACATGAGTAGTGACCAAGACATGATCTCAAGACGAGTCACTGGATAGCAGTGGCAAAGAAAAAAAAATAAAGTAGTACAGATATTATACATAAGGCTTTGGTACAGCACCATACAGTATGAGTTAATTGCTCACAAAAAAAAAAAAAAAGTTAAGTAAAGCATCAAAAAATCTGATGCGGTGACAGAATTGAATGGCATTTCTAAAAAATAAAAAATAAAAAAAACAATCAGTGTTATCGTTTTTAAAAAAGAGAAGAGTGGAAAAAGTTTTAACTCTGAATATTTACATATGGACATTGTGATCAAAACCGAAACGAGAACAAAAACATGTAAAATGCAGAATGTAAACATGTGATGTACAGCACAGAGTTCGGTGGATGAAAGTGAAACGAAACATGGGAATTTCTCACTTCTTTTAAGCACTACTGGGTTTGCTTGAATATGAGCTAAAACAGTCAACAATGTAGTGCTTATAGTAGCCTACGATTAATTATACATTCTAGCTTCTCAGTGCTGGTACACATGAAGAACAAACAGAAACAAACGAACGAACAAAAGAGATAAAGAGAATATAGAAAATACTACATACTTTTCTAGCTTCCGTCCAATAACAAACCAGCTCAGATGGTCATGAATGATTGCTAAATAGGCATTTTTGTAATTGTCTCTACATGCAAGATTAATACGATTTAAAAAAAAAAGAAAAAAAAAGAAAGTCAAATCTGTTAAGTATCATCCTATCAGCAGCTAGTGATGCACTAAGAGCTGTAAGCAGAAACAACCCACCTCCCACCCCCAAAACAAAACAAAAAAAACCCAAAAATAACAAGAGAAACGGAACAGAAAACGTCGCTAACAGTACGTCCAAAGCAGCCCTCTTAAACGCTGTACATGTTCCCGTTGGATTTTGCAAAGAAACAAATGAGCCCGGAAGACAGCGTCTGTAAAAAAAAAAAAACAGCGGTGGGGATGTGTGAGCCTTTCAGACAAGAGAATAAATGCAAACGTGAACGACTCATGGCTAAGCTGTACAGTACTAATAGGAGTTGTTCGTTTAAAAAAGTTGATGGTGGATGAGGTGAGATGTTTGCGTCCTCAGTCGTAGTAGTAGTAGTGTGCTTGAAAAAACAAGTGCTGTTGACCATAGATCTACATTGCTGTGGAAAAGCATTTCCACCGCTTACAGATTTAAAGTTTTTGATTTTTTTTTTTTGTCATACTTTAGAAAAAATGCTGATTGAAAAGATGATTTCATTTATTAAGGAAAAAAGTTATGCAAATCAACCAATGTGAAAAATAAAATTGCCCGTAAACTTAACTGCTGGTTGTGTCGGCAACAATTAGGCATTCATTGTATGACTTTTGCATCAATGGGAAGGAATTTCAAACCATTTTTCTTTTCAGAATTGTTTGAATTAGTCACACTCAACAATTCCCAAAAGTGAAAGGTCTTAGTAAAAATCTAGCCACAACATTTT